AAGAATGCTTAGTGCTGTTGGAAGCAGGGTAGGACATGGTGGACCGAACCATTTGCAGTCAAAAGAAGAGCAAGCACAAAGTATTCTATAAGCATTCTATCTGACCTCCTGGCTTGGACACCTGAGGAACCACCTCCTTGGGAAGTGCTCAGGTGCAGGAAGCCTTTACCCAACAGGAAAACCCATGAAGTTGAAATAGAAAACAGAAAGTGTTTAGATTATGATTTTCTCTGTTCTAGAAAGAAGAACAGTTAAGTGGTGGAGTAGGAAGCAAAATGTGAAGATGTAGTCCAGTTCTGCAGAGCACAGCTGAGGAGAAAGTGTCCATTTAGGGAGAAGCAGTGGGAAAAGAAACAAGCAGCACCTGCAACTCATGTAATGTACACATATTCAGGGGTAGCACCTGGAGAATGTGGTTTCTGCATGGAATAAATAAAAATGTTAGAGAGGTACAGCTGCCACAATAAGCCAATGACAAGAAGATGGGAGTCAAAGGGAACTGAATTTCACCAAGTCTGATTTATCCCACCATTGTGCTGCAATCCACTATGTCAAGACCCATTCTCAATGCATGTGTTTATAGCTTGGTGGGAACAATCACAGCACAAGAGAGCTGATTGTGTATTTGTGAGGTTGTAACCTCCTGAAAGGTTACACCATGTCAGCTCAAGAGGTAGGGCAACACAGGAAGATAAAAGTTCCACTTTTCAAATGAACAGAGATTGTAGCTGGAATTGACCCTTACAGGAAAAGTGAGCTCACAATAAGATTTATGAAAAAGTACCTGGCAAGGCTTGGCTTTCTGGGAAATCAGGGGCTGAAAGGCATCTGGGGGAATGCCCAACCCTCTGCACATGAGGAAAGATAAGCTCCTTCAGAGCCCCAGTTATCTGTGATTATTCACCTTTCGTGAGTCCTTGCTGACCTCTCACCTCCTTACATTTCCTGGCTTGTGACCTTACACTGCACACTTCTGCCTGCCAGGGTTTCCTCTAATGACATCTCTAAGCTCCTCCTGGAGACAGACTTCCCCCTCTGCATTTCCATGGAATCCTTGCAATAACCTCCATTTGATACCTCTCAGTTTTCCCCTGCAGAAATCCCTGAGCTGGAGCTGTCTGGGTTGGAGGATGCCCAGTAACAAGCACCCAATCTCTGGGTCTAAACATTAACCTCATTAATTAATTAATTAATTCATAAACTAATGCTGCACGTTCAGGAACAGGACTGTAGTTCTCATCCTGGCTCTGCCTCAGACCTGCTGTGCCACTTTGGGCAGGTAATTTTTCCCATTTGGCTTTCTTGGTTTCCCCATGTATAAGGCCCAGCCTTATAAGCCCTCCTGATATAAAACATCCTGAAATCTTCGGGCAACAAACTGTATCATGAGCCAACCACTGCTATTATTAGAGCTCTTGTGTGCTACAGAGACACTGGCAAGAGACACAAAAGCAAAATAAATTCAAGGGCAGAGAGAGCAGACAGAGCAATAAAGCACAAAAATTGTAGAAGGAAGAGAAAATAATCTAGTGAAAACCAGAGCACAGCACTGGGGCATTACTCCCATGGTATAGTGTATATGGCAGGATAACACTATTCTGAAGCAGTTTAAAATCCAGCTGAAGCAGTACAAATCCAGTTGTCCACCACCTTCTTAGTCTTTGTGTTCCTAGTGGCTGTAGCTCTGTAGCTGCTCCTAACTCCACACATAGATAAGACTTTTTGTATGGCTGGGTTTATAAATGTATTGACTGGATACAGCTGAACAGCTCAGGTAGGCAGAGATGCTCTACCACCTGAGTTCAGCCAGGTTTATCCTTTCTCTGGCTGGGAAAAGCAGCCAGTAAGAACTGAAAAGCACAAGAAAGCTTGGATGCAGACCTATGGGATGGTCAACTAAACCAATATTTACACAACTGCATATGTAGTGCTTTAAAAGGGAAGATCAGCACACAGTTCCCAGCATCATCTGGAGATAAGAGGAGCTCAGATCACCAGTTTTATGGGTGCTACTCTAGAATGCTACTGAGCAAGCAGCACTTGTGCTCCATCTGTCAGTGTGTCCTCTGCTGTCACTGGATGCTTGCTGTAGAGCAGACCATGGTCTGCTTCTTTCCATTATGGATGAGGCTGGATTGTGCTGTGATTTTTCTGTACAGAGAATTACAGTGTATCTATAACCAGTTTCTCTTGGTTAAAGAGCAGCTTGTGTGTCAGGATTAATATAAATGAAGACAAAAATTCTATTTGTGCCTGCAATTCCTAAGGAACAAGTCACCTTTGCTTTCCAGACAGCATGAGAAGCTGAGAGTATGGACTGGTTTGGAAGTGATCAGAGAGATACCAGATCAGCTGTGCCTGCCAAGAGTGGGGAGTGGATGAACACAGGGTCAAACATTATCCTTGGTAGATTTCTTTTCCCTGCTTTCTGTTTGGATTTTCAGAACCATTTCCTCCTAAAAATTTGTGCAACCTTGTTTCTCAGTTAAAAGGCTTTTTGAATTTTTTAAAGTTTTTTTTATTTTATTGCCTTCTTGATGAGTGATATGAACTGCATATATACTACATTTCACTCCCCCTCATTAACGTTGTAAATTAATTTAGGACTGATTTAGATGCAGGATTAACAACCTGAGGACTAATCCACTCTTTATTCAGAGGACATAATCAGGATGAGCAGTCTTTCATCTCACATCACTCCATTAGTTGGCAGGACCATCTCATGGGAAGCAAACAGTATTTGTATGTCTGCTGGCATAGGAACTATTCAGGGTTAGGGCAGGAGGGTGGGAGACACCTGGCCTGGCCCCAGCTTTGCTCCAGGCTTCTTCTGCAACCCTGGGCAAGGGCTTCTACACTGCACCATTTCCCCTGATTTTACCATTGGGAAGTCTGGTTTAGAGAAAAGACAAAAGATTAGAAGAATGTTTGTGGTGGTTTAGGGCAGCATCTTTTATTTAAGCAGGATTAAGGATACCTTAATGGCCCTGGGCCATGGGCCACCTGCCAACACAGAAACTTGGGAGGCTGGAGGAATAGATTTAATAACCCTTCAGTTACATGCCTCTATCCTTATTTACATGAAATGGTGTTCTATTTTCTGAGCACTCTTTTCCTCTGATAGCATTGTGATTAGTACATTATTATCTATATTGCAGAAGCAAAGTCCTCAGTTTTCAGATCAGCAAAAAAAAAGAGAAAACACTGCTTTTCTAAAAGCAACAATTACCTGTTAAAAAACTTGACACACTCAAGAAAAACCCTGCACCATCTCAGTGATGCTGTTTTCAGATGCCCCATGTATCTGCTAGAGAAATAAATAATATATCTTGCAATTAACAAATGAATATCCTGCTGAAGTTAGCTTTTACTTGCTGTCAATGAATAATCTTCAGAAGGATTTCATCCACTGAAGTGAATAAAGATTAAATATGTGCTTTGGCAAGTGTCCTTTTCCACCAGAATATTTTCTTGAAAGCACTTTGTGTCTAATGATACATTGAGGACCTGTTCCCCTGAGTACAATAAATAAATACAAATAATTGCTGTAGAAAAGAATCTGACAGACAGGCAGTGCCATTTTGGGCATAACTGATTGATGCTTTGTATAATCAGTGACACTTTTAAAGCTGAAACCTTCTGTTCTGGACACATGCTGCTCACATCAGATGAGCTGAGCTCTGCTGTCCCACAAGGACAGCATTTTGTAAAAATTTAATACAAATTGTTATTAATTGTTTGCATTACAACATTACCAAGAAGCTGCAAGCACAGATGAGGGCCCTGCTGTGCCATGGGCTGCAGGAAATAAAAAAGGAGGGGATATTGCAGTGGTTCACATTGTTTGAAATCAAAGACCAATTGATGGAGCTCCAGAACAGTCTCACCTTTAGTGAGATCATAAAGAATGAATGATGTTCTACAATTCAGTGTTGGCCACAATTTCACAGACAAGCTCCTGACAGGTGCTGGGTATCCACCATGATAGCACAGGAAAACATGTCATGCTGGCACACTATTTCAAAACCCAACAGAATTCTCCCTTTTTCAGAGATGTAATTGTTCCAGCAGAGTTCCCTCAGACAGATGACAGTGACGAGACAGCTACAGCACCACAAATCCATGACTCTAATTAATAGTTCTGGAGGAGCTTTTCAAAGCAGACAGTGTTCTTAAAATCCTGCATTTCTTAAAAATCCTGCTACTCCTTTCCACTCTCCACGAGGATCCAACTGTGCTGTGGTGTCTGCATGAGACTGACTCAGTGTCAGCCTGTGCAGCTCACTGATACAGGCCCTCCTCTAAACCCCTCAGCACCAGAGGCCACAGAAGCTGAGCCTCTTTCTCCTGGGCTTGTTCAGCTCTGCCTAAAGATGTCTGAGACATGAAAATGCCTGCTCCATTAAAAGGACATCAGAATTGAAATAATCCTTCCTTACACAACAAGGGAAATGCTGGAAGCTAACAGCAGAATTCCAGGGCTGTTGTTAATCCAGGAGTTCTCATGGATGCAGTTACCCTTGCCTAGAGCTTTCATCCTCGGGTTCTTGCCCCAGTGAGTTTTACATTTTCATGCCACACCATGCTCCCAGGGACTGTCCATTCAGCAGATTCTCTGTCAAGCACTTGAAGGGCAAAATACATCACACTTATTACCAATTAAATAAGTGAACAGGATCCTGTGTTGGTTTATCATGAGTTTTCTAATCTAGGGGAAGGAACCATCTCCTGTTTGAATTTAGTTTCTTGTAAATAAAATAATTATTGGTCCATTCTACACTCAAGTCATTCTGAGACCCAACCTGCTGCCCAACAGCAAATCAAGGCCAAAAAAACCCCTTTATGTTCATTTAGCTTCCCAGTAGGAGCGTACTTATTCACCTTTCTACGAGTAGATTTCACAACCAGTAATGCCCATGCATCAGAATGAAGAAATCTTAGGCACCCATCAGACAAATGGAATGTTTCAGAGAGCAGGGAGAGAGGAAACCCTTTCTTACCTGTCTGCAGCAAGCCAGCCCCACTGTCTTTGACTCCAAAGTGCTGCTGGATGTCCAGTAACACACCTACAAGGAAAACAGAGAATATGCTCAGTGCCTTCAGCCTTTGACAAGCATTCAACTCAGACCTTTTGTGATGCATCAGCAAAGCTTCAAATGCCAGTTTAAACACATAACTTCTAAAGGCTGTACTTTTTTTTTTTCCCTAATCATGCACTCACAGTAATTTTGGGCTACTACAATAAAAGCAGAGGTGGGCAGATGCAATATCAAACAATGAGCCTGGGAATTAAATCCTCATGAATGGAAACTGGTCTTTTCTTTCTACTTAAATAAGACCAGACTTTTCTTTTTGTGTGGTTTTTTTTTTTTCATAATCCAGACCTCTTACTTCTGTTATTTCACAGAAATACAGGGAAACTGATTCTGCACCTAAGGTGCTTCAAATGGTTTGACAAGACAGATTGAATCCAAGACAAGTTTTAACAAATCTCTGCTGGGAGGAGATATGACAGAATGATAGCAATGATGAAAGGTTTCATATTTAACTAGTTCTGGGGAGTTTCTACTTTCAAAGCCAATATAACAAATATATTTAAAATACCTTAGTAAAGGTGGGTAAGTGACCAAATGCTCAGATTTAAAGCAACTACAAGCAGAACCAAACCAAATCTTCTGTCTTCCTTCAACCCAAATATATTAATTGGCACAAGCAAAATTAGCAGGTTTTGAAGTATCTACACATTCAACTAGATTTAACATTTTTGTACCAAACATTTTCACACATGTAACATCAGGTATATGGGACAGCCATGGTTTTGTAACCAACAAACCAAGATGAAAACCCAGAGCAGAGCTTCCATAGCTCATTTGGGGGCACTCAGGTTTGCCAAGCCCTGCGTGGCCCAGTGGTCTGAGATGCAAAGCCATAGGCCTGAATATTTGTCAGTGGTCCAAATAACCAGCATCTGACTTCCTGGGTCTGCAATTGAGGCTGTTGCTCTCTTTAGATCTGGGACTTCCTTGTTTTGACCACTGCCTTGCCCAAACCTGAGTTATGCAAGTTTCTTTTCTAAAAAGAAGAAAACCATTCTCTAACTACACTCGACATCCACAGAAGTTCACCTCCAGCTCAAATTCTGATCCAAGGCTTTATCCAAAGCCATTCTTCTCATCTCTGCAGGTTACAGAAATCACCAACCTGAATCACTCACCATAAATGTCCCAGCTTTTGGGACTGCCAAGATCACACTAAATGACAAACACAGAGAGATAAAAGACCCTGAGATAACTATTCCCAGTAGACATCCGGGACAATGCCAAGGGAATAGTCATAAATTAAAGACACTAAAGGAAAAGAAGAAGATGGAGAGAAAGAAAGAAAAAGCAAGAAAGCTCATTTGAGCTATTCTGTACTATTTCTATATCACTGTTCACTCAGGACAGGATTCAGGTGGGCTTCAGGCCTCATTATCTGCCCAGAAACATTAGTTCAATCTCCTGCAACACCTCCCACTTCCCAATTCTCTCATCAGACTGCTTGGCCCCAAACAAGAGGGCTGAGGGTGGGGAAGGGTGTGACCCTAACTAATGTATGTCACTGCTGATAAAAGTGGGTAGATGCAGAGCCAGGCTCCTCACACTGGTGCCCAGTTAAAGAGGCAAAGGGCAACAACTGAAATCTGGCAAAGTCCATGTAAACATAAGGAAATGAATTTTGACTGTCAGAGAGGTCAAGCCTGGATGTTCAGAGAGGTTGTGGGTTCCCCATCCCTGGAGATATTCAGAACCCAACAGGACACACTCCTGTGCACCCTGCTCTAGCTCACCCTGCTTTTAGCTTGGATTAGATGATCTCCAGAGGTCACTTCTGACCTAATTATTCTGTGATTCTATACTTTTCTGAAGCTTTAAGTGCCTGATTACTTCCATTCTGACACAGTGTTCCCCTGGCCTTTCTTTTCCTTTGGAACATTGCTGTCTACTACAATTTCAATTTGTAGAAATCTTTGCTTTCTCTTGGATGCTAGGTTTAACTCCATTTACAAAGTGCCCTGGCATTTTCTTGTCTGTGCTTTTCTAGTTTGCTCCATTAACAACTGAGCAACTGATGAGCAAAAATAAATTTGCATTTGTCTAGCAAACCCCTCAGTGGTGTAGCTGACCTACCTGCTCCCCTTGGTTTTCCACCCTTCCACAAAAGAAATGCTTCTCATGCCACCCAACTTAGAAACCTCACTGAGCTTAAGCAGCTCTGAGCACTTTGTGCTCCAGTACTGCTCGGTCCCAGACTGCCACATCAGGCAAAGCTCAACAAGTCAAAACAACTCCTGGGCACTATCATCCCAATTTTAGGGACAATGAACTCAACAACATCCCCAAGAACAATGTGGAAGAGAGAGGAAATGCCAAGTACAATATTTTCTCATGCTCTCCTATCATCACTCAGTTGTGCTGCACAGAAATGCAATATCCTACTCATTGCTTGCAGCTGAGCAGGGGGTTGGACTGGATGGAATATATTCCACCAGGGAATACACACACATCAAGAGCTCCATCCAGCACCCTGAAAGGTGGCTCTCCTACCTTCAGCAACGTATTCCCAGCCATGACAGAATGCCAAAGAGGCACATTAAACTTCTAAAAGTATGAGAAGCAGGAGCCTGGGATGTGATGGAAAACAGACTTTTGTGGATTTGCATGAAAAACATGAACAGAAAGTAGAGGGGAATATAATGGTGTCTACACAAAAAAAGCAGAGGAGAGTTTCCAGTTTGTGACAAGTTATTTGTCCAGTGACAGTGGTTTTGCCATCCTGCAGACCTTAATGAGTTTTACAAGCTTGAACTCCTGTAGCCACAAATTAAATACATTTTGGACACAGACATGCAGACACTTGGATTAATCCTACAATTTTATCCTGGTGGTGGAAAGTAGGTTCTGTGGAGAGTCAGTGCAACAGGACAATGCAGAACCACAATTATAAGTCCTGTGTGACCTTGGAAGGTCTCAGAGGATTAAGAGAGATCTGCATGTCTAAATGGCATGGATTTCCTACTCCAAGTTATTTTATATTCTCTTTAGACTACAGGTGTTTTGATTTGGGTTTAGAGCATTAAATTAGAGGCAACAGTGGGCAGATGATGCAACACCCCTGTGAAGTGATAGTGGCTGTCTGCTGTGGGAGTTTTCCTGCTCAGCCACTCACCTGGGAAGACACTCCTCCTCTCCTGGATTCACTCAGCTCTGTTTCCACCTCACCGTGGCTATGACTCACCCCAGAATTTAATAAGATTTAGGGATACAATTAAGCAATGATAGACCAGGGGAGAATACAGGAAAATGATAGAGCTTTTGACTTTCCCTTCTGCTCTAGATGATGGGAAGGGAGAGAGCTGGAGCCAGGCTGCAGACAATGACCACATTGCTTGCAGTGCTGTGTCTCACAGCACCTGATGCAATCCAAGAGGTGAAAACACCACACGTGGCTGGCGAGGTCTTTCTTGGATTAAAGCTCATACCTATGACCCAGGAGGATCTCAAAATAGCCAAGAGCAGCCAGCAGGCACCAGCTGGCTGGTTCCTGAGAGCCTCTCTGGAGGGCTGCTGCCTTTTGGGATGTCTCTGTGATTACACGGCACCTCGTGCTCTCCCACCTATTATTTCTTAAGCACATTGTGTATTTTCAGGGCTGAGCAAACATACAGGAAATGTGGTGCCAATCTCCCAGAGCATCTCAGCAGCTGAACCAGACACTGTTAATGCTGATGTAGATTTGGAACTCGATGAGATGAAACACAGGCAGCACCCAGCCAAGGAGTGCAGATCAAGATGGGCACAGGGACAGGAGTTACTGGGAACCCAGACAGAAGAGCAAAGACTGTTAGTGCAGCCATCTCCAGGGGACTTGTACCAGGCCTAATGTCTAGGAACCTGACAGACACCAAGGCAGCTATCAGACTTTTGTGGGCACTGGGCACAAGAGGACTTTGAGGAGCAATTTGGAGGATAAAAGGGCATGGAGTGCTACAGATAGGGAGGGACATGCCTCACCTCATCCACTCACAGGGTCAGAGGGTTTCTAGGGTACTGCTGATATTTTTACTGATCATTTCACAATCAGGGATTGTAAAAGACCTGATTCTGAGGCTTTTGGAATGCAAATCCACGTTTAATGGCTCAGGTTATCTCTGTTTTAGGGGAAATACTTTGGGAAAGCCAAATTTTCCTGGAAGTGAGCAGTTCACACTTCAAACAGGGAGGTAGGTGGCCCAGATGAGGCATGAGGCAATCTGCTTGCCTAAATAGGTTTTGTGTCCCTGATCTAAATAGGTTTGTGTCCCTGATCTAAACTACAACAAATCAAAAGCTGCAGGATTCTGTGTGGGATCTTCACCAAATACTGCTGCCTCTATACATTGGCATGATCAGAAACAGTGTCCATTAGCTAAACCACAGTGAAATGACAATTTCAAAGCAAAAACACATTAGAGCTTCCCTGGGACAGCCCCATTTTCCAATCACCAAAACAAAACATCATGATTTGCTTTCAAACTGCTTCCAAGGCAGGTGCCAAATGTAGAGCTGGCCTGTGCACAGAGTACAGAGCTATAGAAGTGAAAGCACAGGTTTGCAGCTCACATTCTTCAATACTCTGTGCTGCAACACAACTGGCCAGCATAACTACTTACTTAAGAAAGCATGTTCATTTTTAATGGAGAAAAAGGACAGTGCTTGAAAGGAAGCAGCACATGGTTTTCCACAGGATACAGGATGTGTGCCCCTAGCACCCTCCCTCCTGCCCCACTGCAGGTCTGGACCTCTCTATATGGAACTCACACTCTCAGCTCCCTGAGAGCCAGTGCAGACTCTGTACTGGCAATACTGCTTCTTCTATTACCTCTTGCTGCCCACCTCTCTTCCTTACAAAGGCATTTCCTTCCCAGACTGTGGTCCCTGGTACTTCCAGGGCCTTCCTCAGAGGGAGGTAGCTAAGCAGGGATAGCCAAGCCCTGGCCTTGTATGCATTAAAGACACAAACCACCTTCCTCCCATCAGGCTCTTCC